GGCAAAATTCAAAATTAATTCCAACTGACTGAAAATGTTTAATGTGTCCCGTGCGCTCATATGACTTTTGTGCAGTTGCGAGCGCAGTGAAACACTTATACAGGTACCAAAACAAAACAAAAAAAAACAACAACAACAACAAAACAAAAAGAAAAAGCCCCAAAGAATTTCGAGGACCTAACTGTTCAACTATCTTCTCCTTCTCTCCCCTCCCAGCACGTGGGGCGAGGCAATCATCCAGCTCACCCAGTATGTGATCATCATGAATCTGATGTTTGTTTACCACGGTCGCCATAGAAACGCCATCGGCTTCATGCTGCTGTATATCCCCGTGATGGTGGTGTTGTTGTGGCCGCTCGTGTCCCCAAACACCATTCTCATGATGAAGATGATCAGTCTGCCAGTGGCGGCTTTTACAAAGGTAGGCTTTTTGTTGTTGTCTGTGTTGTTGTTGTTGTTGTTGCTGCTGCTGTTGTTGTTGTTTGTGGTGCTGTTGTTGTTCCTAGTACTGTTTGTTGCTGACTTATTGTTGTTCCTATTGTTGTTGTTGCTATTGACGTGGTCGTCGTTGATGTTGTTGTTCCTAGTCGTGTTTGTTGTTGACTTCCTGTTGTTGTTCCTATTGTTGTTGTTGTTGTTGTTGCATTTCTTCATCTTCTTCTTCTTGTAATTATTGTGTTCTTCCTCCTCCTCCGTCTTCTTATCATTATTATACATGTACTATTATGTTAATATTATTTCTGGGGTCCCAGCACCTCTTCTTCTTCACATGTCCCAACGGGTACGTTAAACTTCGGAGGAGTTGATCTTTTTTTCACTCCCTCGATATCAACTCATTCGTAGTCGACTGTGTTATGATGTGTCTGTTCCTTGACTTTTATATATGTGCCTACTTGAGTCCGTAAAACTCTTACACTTACACACTAAAAAAAAACAACAACACAAAACAAACAAACAAAAACAAACAAACAAACAAAAACTTTCTTTCTCTCTCTCCCAGATATCTTACATTTACCGAAGACACAAACAACGAGAGCCCAGAGAGGTCACCACCTCATAGCTCTTGCCTGTCCTCCCAGCTCATGTTTAAAGTTAATCTGGGCTTCTGACTCTCTGCAGCCTTTGTATCGCTACTCCTTGGCCCCTTCTTACTGTTGTCTTTCAACCACACCTCTGTTTTTCTGGTAGGAAAGATCTACACCTAGCCTTCTCGGATAAAAGCGAAAAATATCTGAGGTCCCGTGTGCAAGTTGTACAGTTTAAAGATCCCTTGGAGGTCTAAAATTGATAAGGATAGGCTTCGGCCGCCACACGGGCAAAATTGAAAATTTCCTACCAACTGAACATGTTTAATGAATCCCGCGCGCTCATATTATGACCTTATTAATACGAGTACATTATATATACGTGTATTATGCGGTTGCGAGTCCCGTAAAACACTTCCCCAATTTTATTTGTAAAAATTTCTCTCTCCCAGATCCCGTACATTTACCGCAGACACAAACAACAAGAAGAGAGCCCAGAGAGGTCACCACCACCACCTCCACCCAGCTCCAGCCTGTCCTCCCAACTCCTGGTCAACCTGGGCTCCTCCGGCCGCCTGCTGACCGCTGTAGTGGACACCAGGGACTTTCTGATGGTGCTGGGCTACGCCCTGGACTCGCTGCTTGACTGGCTGGTCACGTCACAGGCACTACGTCATAGGCGTCGAGAGAAACTGGTGGCGGGGAGGGAAGGGAGGGAGGGGGAGAAACTGGGGAGGAAGGGAGGGGGTGGTGTTGG